ATTCTTCTTTTCTCAATGAAAGATGTCTGTAATAAAAGTTTATTTAAGCTGTTAATACTGTGTGATAGGAACTTTTGTGTTGTAGGTTTCTAGCTATGAATCTGTCAAAATTTGCCCGAGCTGAGCGAATGGACCTTACCACATAAGACTGTTTAAGTGTGTACCAATAATAACCTAACCACACAATAAAATTTAAAACTTTGTTATGCGAGTCATTATCTTAAAAACTTGTGTTTTAGGTTATATTATTAGATAGGTAAAATGCCATTGTAATAGTAAGAATGCTTGAAATCGGCTATTAATAAATAAAAAATACATGCCAACTACTCTTTTGCCTAAATGAAGTGATGTGTTACACAAATGCAATTTGTAAATTCCTCGTGTAGTTTAACGCATGATACTATGATAAGAAGATAAGATATTGCGCATGTTTTTGTGACGTCATTGGAGAGTTGCACGTTCGAAATGTCAGTTTTTTGTATGTGTCAATAAATAATCTTTAATAAATAGTTTTTAGATATCCTTATGTGTACAATTATTGTAATTATTGAACTTCTTAACTTATTTTCGTCTAGTAATTTCATCACAGAATGCATACAAATCCCATTTAACTTTAACAAGAATTCAAATTCTACTCTCCAATGACGGCATGCGCGAACACGACCGATTTTGGGCTACGGGAAGATCCTATCTTGTTATTCATAGTATCATGGTTTAACGTTTGTTTGCTTTGAAAATTGTTTTTCGGATTTCTATTGTTTTTAAAAGATGTCGCGTCTGTGTGTAATTATTTTTTAATAATTACTAATATGACAGGAAGATTTGGTTCCATTTGTAGAGTTTACCACAAGTTCGCTCTGACGAATCCTTATGAAATACCTATAAGTGAATGGTGGTGCTCTGTATTAAAATTAAATCTCAACTCTCTTTCTTTTTAACATACAAAAGGGGCGAATTTAAAACACACAATTGAACACATTGACTGTTTTAGATAAAGGAAAGAAAAAGGAAAATCTACCATCATGGTTTGATTACAACACAGCAAATAAATGGAGAAAATTTGAAATTTAAATTAAAAGTTTGATAAATGGTTAAAAAAAGACGATATGATTGTTGTATTTACTTAGTTGCAAACCAATGACAGATTCATTAATTAATTATATGCTTCGTTATTACATGGGAAAATTGGAAGATAAGTGTCAGAAGAAGTGGAGATAAGGAGAGGGGCCAGACAAGGTTGCATACTGTCGCCGTTATTGTTTAATGCTTATTCTGAAGAAATCATACAAGAAGCTTTGATAAATGAGACAGTCGGCATAAAAGTAAACGGAAGTTTAATTAACAACATTAGGTGTGCCGACAATACAGTCATAATAGCAGACAACTTGAAAGACTTAGAAAGAGTAATAAACAAAATATTAAGACATAGTGGAGAATACGGACTCTCTCTTAACATAAAAAAAAACAAAATTCATGAAAATTAGCAAGAACAACAATACAAATGAAATATTAACGGTAGGCGGCCAGGAGATTAAGAGAGTATAAAGATATACTTACTTGGAAACGATAATCACAGAAAATAACGATTATACTGCAGAGATAAGAGTCCGAATTGAAAAAGCCAACTTCGTTAAAATGAAAAATATTTTATGCAGCAAAGATCTGACATTGGCCCTCAAAATAATGCTAATTAAATGCTATGTACACAGTGTACTCTACTATGGAGCTGAATCATTGACATTAAACCGGAATACAATAAATCGACTTAAAGCGTTTGAAATGTGACATTTAGAAAACTGTTAAGGATTCCATGACTAGATAGAGTCACGAATGCAGACGTGTTAAGGAGAATAGGCATTGAGAGGGAAATAGAAAATACAATAAAAGAAAGGAAAAATTGAAATATCTCGGACATGTAATGAGAGACGAAAGATTCAACATCTTGAGACTCATAATTCTAGGAAAAATAGAGGGTAGGAAGAAGGCGCGTTTTCTGGTTGAAGAACCTAAGAGAGTCGTTTGGTTGCAGCTCAAGGCAATTGTTCAGAGCAGCTGCCTCGAAGGTCAGAATAGCCATGATGATTGCCAACCTTCGTCGCTTAAAGAAGAAGAAGATAGTATGGAAAGTACGGACTTACTGAACAATATGGGATTGAACAAATTATCATCACCCTGATCTTTGCTTTATTTCTGCAGGGTCGACTTCTCTAATTACAATTACAAAAATGTTTATCAAATAATTACAAAATTTTTACAAATAAAAATATGAAAAACCTCAAAGATGAGAATAAGCAAACAGACGTGATATAAAGTATAAACAAGAACATGACTAACTTAAGACAAAATAAACAAAAAAAAAACAAACAATTGATGAAATGTGGGAAAATCTCGAAGAAGCTCTTACATTAGACATTAATAACATAATTAATAACATTAATAACTACACTCCAGTAGCTAAGAACGAGTGGATAACTCAAGAAGTTTTAAACATTATAAATGAAAGAAAAAAGATAAAGAACAAAAAACAATGAAAATTATTCTCTTCTTAGAGTGCCGTCTCCCTACGGAGGTTGGCAATCATAATGGCTAATTTTATTTTAGAACTTGCCGCTCTAAACAAATCAATCGATCTGCATTCATACCAATCACGTAGATTATTTAACCATGAGTTCTGTCTTCGGCCAACAGATCTTCTTCCTTGAATCTTTCCCTGTATTATGAGTCTCAAAATTTCATATTTTAGTCCCTTCATCACGTGGCCTAGGTATTCAAGTTGTCTGGTTTGTATAGTGGTGATTAGTTCTGTTTCTTTACCGACCCTCTCCAGTACTTCTTTATTTATAATTATATCAGTCCATGATATGTTTAATACTCTTCGATATAACCAGAGTTCGAAAGCCCTTATTTTTAAATTGCATTTTTTTAATGTCCAAGTCTCAGCTCCATATAATAATATTGATAATATATAACAGCGAATGGTACGTAGTCTGATCTCCAAATTTAGATTTTTGCACGATAGGAGCGGTTTCATTCGTATAAATGCTGATCTGATGAAAATTATAAAGATATATCAATTGGATAAAAATAAAATCAAAGCCACACAAGAAAAATATGCTTCAGAAGTGTATATAATTCAATATGAAATAAAATTAACCATGGCGTTTACAACTCTGACGTTCATAATTGTTTATATGAAGTAAATTCACACATTCAGCACTACACAAAATATTTAATTTAATTTATGAAACTGGCTGCTATCCTCAACAGTGGTGACGCTCTACCTTTATTCCCCTGCCCAAGAAAGTAAATTCAAAAAGATGTGAGGATCACAGACTCATTAGCCTGATGAGTCACACTTTAAAGATATTCTTAAAAAATACTACATCAAAGATTATACAAAAAATGTGAATGGGACATCAGTGATACCCAGTTCGGGTGTAGGCAAGGTTTAGGAACACGAGAAGCAATAGTAGCAACACAGGTGCTGGTCCAAAATTGTTACGATCAGAGGAAGGATGTGTTCCTATGCTTTTTAGATTACCAAAAAGCGTTTGATCGTGTCCAACACCACAAGTTAATGCAGATTCTCAAGAAGTTGATATAGACCAAAAAGACATAAGATGCATTGAAAACATGTACTGGCATCAAACGGCACAGTTAAAAATAGACAATTCCATATCCAAGCCCATACATATAAGAGGAGGCGTTCGACAGGGATGTGTGCTTTCCCCTCTTTTATTTAACATTTATTCGGAAGCCATATTTCAAGAGTCTTTGGAGGATGCAGAGATGGGAATCAAGGTGAATGGAGTATTGATCAACAACATACAATATGCTGATGATGGTGTCTTAATTTGTGACAAAATAGTCGATCTTCAATAACTTGTCACTATAATCGGAGAATACAGTAAGCGAATGGGGTTAGAGATTAATACCAAAAAGACCAAATTCATGATCATCTCCAGAAACTTGGATGCACTTGAAAACTCCACCATAACACTGAATACTAAATCCATTGAAAGAGTGAGTAAATTTAAATACCTGGAATTGTGGCTTTTTGAAGACTGGGCATCGGACAGGGAAATAAAATGTCGCATAGAGCAAGCTCGACAAGCTTTCGTAAAATTCAAGAAGGTACTGACTTGTTCAGAGTTCGATCTTCAACTGAGACTAAGGTTTACTAAGTGCTACGTGTGGTCAGTGCTGCTATATGGCGTAGAGGGCTGGACACTCAAAACGAGGGGTATAAACAGATTAGAAGCTTTCGAAATGTGGCTCACCGTATCCTAAAAATACCATGGACAGCAAAAATCACAAATATAGATGTCCTTAAAAGAATAAACCAAGAACGCCAACTTTTCGAAACCATCAAGAAAAGGAAAACGGCGTATCTAGGTCACATCATGCGAAATGAAAAATACCAGTTCCTCCAACTTATAATCGAGGGTAAAATTGAAGGCAAGAGAGGAATGGGACTCAAGAAAATGTCCTGGCTCCGAAACATAAGGCAATAGATAGGGATTAACGACATACAATCTCTGATACATATTGCAAGAAATAGAGAATTAATGGAAAATGTGATCGCTAACATCCATTAGTGGATTTGCATCCGAAGAAGAAGAAGAAGAAGTAAATTCAAGAAAAAGTTTCAGTTTCTAATTAGTATCATAATTCAACGAGAACTCGTGGATGTTGAGGTTTACTTAGAGATATTAACTGTCTTCGAAAAGAAGCACAATCAGTCGATACATTTTAGTCTTTACTGTCTCAACGAATTTATGTTAAAATTGTAACTAAACGATTTTAGAAAAGATGAATAACTAGATCTTGGGCCCAAGAAGTATTTACATTAGTAGCTAAGAAAAGTTTTTGAACAATTTTAGACTATGTCCGCTATCTAACTATTAGTATTAATATTTTAAAAATTTTGTATCTTACTTGATTAAGCTTATAATGTTTTTTCCCTATACATATATTTCATACGTTAGCTGTATTCATACCTTTAACATCCAATGCTTGGGCTCTGACTCCTGCTGGTCTCTTCAGTGGCTGCACGTCATTTATAGTGATTGATGGTATAAATTTTTGAACGTCTCTTAGCTGCATATTAATAATTCGTGATTTGATCATCTCCACTGATCCTGGAATTATATATTTTAAGGCCAATCTTATGAATCCTGGATAGAAAAGTGTTTCAGATAAGTCACCGAGCGATATATCTTTCCATCTGGAATAAATGTATTGTCTTCAGAATAATACCACACAACAAAGGTAACGTTGCTTTTTAGCAATAAAAATAAAATTGTGGTCAAACCAAACTTTCAAAAGATTTCTAATCGTTAAATAAGAGTAGTATCAACACGTATCTAAAATCTGAAAATTAAATATATTGTAGTCCTCTCTTTCTATAATTATATGCAAGGAACCGGGAATTTTCATCGTTATAAGGAAAGATCGTTATACAGAGAGAAACAAAATTCGGTACTGTAATATTAATAATACTGTACTAAATAACCTATTTTATTTTAAAAAAATTATCAAAACGAATATAAATAAATTAACTCTGTATTGAACACTAAATAGATTTATTAAAGAATAATATAAGCAATACAGTATAAAGAAAATGAGTGTACAATTTAAACATCTGTACTGTACAATAAGAAAATAATATGCAACTGTAAAATATATTTAGCCTACATTACCAAAATCTGTCACCTTGATCTGTTTCCTTTTCTTTTTCCACATACTTGACCTGACCTTGTCCTGAAGACGCATAGAATTTTCCACAGCATTCATATCGTCTTCATAGTGGATGAAGAGTCGATGCAGTACTTTTGCCGCATCTAATGCCCGCTGAGGGGTCGGAGCTGGTTCTGGATCTGCTTCCACTTCGGGTCACTGTTTTCCTCTTCTTCTACAAGAACTGCTTGTAGGATGTCCTCGTCAGAAAGTCCAGATGTTGTAGCTACATTTTCATCGACTTCTTCAAAATCTGTTAGCTCTTCCGGTCCGTAGGTGAGTAAGTACAAACTGTCTAGCTTAAACATCTAATGGCAGGCCATCTTCATCATCAGTCAATCCTTGAGTTTCCAGCCATCCTACGTGTTTGAAGGACTGTTTTGTTGTATTGCTCGTCACCTCGTCCCAGAATTTACTAATTATTAGGATGGCGTCAAGAATGTTTATTTTAAGATCACCATTGTTCTCAAGCAATTCCCTCAAAAGTCTTCTCCTGTAATGGCTTTTCAAACTCTTGATGACACTTTGGTCCATGTGCTGAAGTAAACTCGTTGTGTTTGCTGGCAGAAAATAAAATTCAATGTTTTGAAGGTCGCACAATACAGGATGAGCAGGACAATTGTCTACAAGCAGAAGAATTGTTTTCCCTTTAAGCTCGATATCTTATATTTTTATCGCTTCTTCAAAAATTTACGAAGTCATCCACGCACTCTTATTAGCTTTATAAGTCACCGATAGATGAAAAACTCAGCTTTTGTCCTGAACACAGGCCCAGAAAGTGGAATATGGTTCATCCGCTGCTGCTAGAACCACTGAAGCATAGAGCGATCTAAATCTTCGTGCTAAGGTTTCCGCAACTTCTTTCTGCTACCGCCCTCCATTTCCGCTTCAACCCACTTTTTTTCTATCCTTCCATATCGTAGCCACAGTTGACTGAGACAGCCCCGTACGTCGAACGACATCCGATTGCTTTTCACCTTTCTCTATTGCTCGAGTTATCGATAATTTATCCTCCACCGAGAGCACTTTACGCTTTTTCGAAAACATGTTGACTATTGACACACTGAGACACAACTGGAAATGGAATCTTCTTAAATCTTATTTTGGATTCTACGATTTGTTCGGCCTATATAAGATCGGGGTCTGGACAAGGAATTTTATAAACTCCATGTTGTTCATTTGGATTGTTATTTTTGATTGATTGGACAAGAGATGAAAGATTTTGTTGGGAGGTAAATATTGTCTTTATTCCTCTTGATTTAAGAATTTTGTCGATTTTGTCAGTGACACTTTTGATGTAAGGAAGAAGAGCTTTCGTATGATGAAGGTCTGAGTCTTTGGGTTGAGATTGATATCTATGGATGCTCCTATTAATGTGATCATCGCGGTTACCGTTTTGGATTTGTTTTCGACTAAAGAGCTCAGCGGGTCTACTTGCATCATCGAAAAGGTGCATTATTGATCTGAATGATTGATGATGACATTGGTATGGGTGGATAAACAGAGTGATGAAAACATTGGGATTGGTTTTTTTTTAGGATAACGTCTAGAAACAGTAGGGATGAATCAGGAACTGGACACTAGAATGTATACCACTCAGATGGGTTTAAAAAGACACCAAAGCATCTCTAGAAGTCTTCTGTTTAGCATTTCGTCTATAAGAATATTTGTAAAGAGTGAAATGATGTCAAAACCTACTAGAATGTCTGACGGTAATATAGGGTATTATTTAAAAACTTTGATAAAATGAAAAGAATTTTTGATTAATACATTACAAAACCACCTTTTGCTCATCAATACTTTGTTTGTTTTTACATATTATTTCAACGCACAATAACATTTAACTTACTTTATCCTTAACCACTTAATCGGTTATTTATGTTCATGAACTTATAACTTATATTTTTTTATTTCTTAAGTAGGCACAGAATGTTGCTTTTTAACATAGAGAGTCTTTCATGCTTAAGTTATAAGTTAAGTACTACATGAACAGTATATATTACAAAATGTATTATATTTACATCTCATCTCAATAGTACTTCTTTCAAATACACTATTTAGCATTTCATTCTTTAACAATAAAATTTAAAGAACCCAACTTCCTACATATATCTGCATTCCATTTTCCAGATACCAAATGTTGCAAAAACATAAAAGGCCTTTTGTAAAAACCTTTAGTTTATCACCACTGAATATAAAAATGTGTATAGTTGGTTGCCTATCAGTACCCACAAAATTTTACCAAACTTCAGTCCACCTACATTAATTATAATTTTTTTTTCAAATTTCTCAACATAAATTTAGGATAAATTCATAATTCATACTACAACATATTGATGGTTGCTACTGTTATTTTTATTATAATTTTAGCTTATTAAATTTTAAACAATCCTGGCTACTATCATATTTAAACAAATACCTTAAGTTACATTGACTGCTTTGTTCCAACTTCCGTCTAAGATGTCATTATTGTCATTTCAATCAGTTGCTATCAACAAGTCCTCGTAGATACTTTGTCTCAGGACTAACAACCTCCAGTGGAGTCTTACGTTGTCATGTAATCAATTCCTGTTTTAACTTAAACATCCTAGTATATAAGATCAAATAATGTAAATTAAATTAAATTCAACATTTACGGGTTTTTACCCAAGTATTTAGTGGCTCAAAACATGTACATCTAGTAAGTATTAACCACATTTTTTATTAACCTTGGTCAAAATTTTAAATTTCATGTTTTCTTTCATTAAAGTGGTTATATACTTTTAGGTAAACACTGATGATAGAATAGTTATTCTTAAAACGTTCTGTGATGTAGCCCGATAGGTTGTTTTAATTATATACCTTTTATAAAGGATTTTTAAATAAAATTTCCATGCATGTACTTCTACGACATAATTGGGTATGACTTTGATGTTCATAATTTATGACTACATGTGGAGCTTCTTACAAGAGTTTATTCTTCACTGTTTAGTTATTGGTCTGCTGTGGATTGTCAGCTCGAGTTTCTTGTATAGTAGGATAGAGTGTCTGCTTGGGACGTTGTTTATTAATTTTATAAACCACTATTTGATGATTATTGATCTGCTCAAGTATTTTCCAAAAATTTTCTTACGCGTTTGGTCGTTTTCAGCAGTATCACTTTTTGACAGTTATTTTACATTATCTAAAAGGTTTTCCGAAATGACATCAGTATTAAACAGGATAATATCAAGGGTCATCTTCATACTTTCCATTCTCAATTATCTCTTTATTTGCACTTGCACGATCTTTGTACTTAGCAATCGTCTCGTATTTAACATGCAGATTATTGTTGTTAGTTTTCACCATATAAACAAGTAAGGTTTATTTAATTACTTTATTAACTAGTATGAGATTCAGTTATAAAAAACCGTATAAAGCGTATAAAGTTATAGAGGAAAGATAGAGGCTTAATAAATACTGAAATATTTAAGGTTTTTTTTAGGAACGAGATGAGAGTCTAGTCATAAATGAATAATTGATTCTACTATACTTTGTTAAAGAGGATGTTGTTAAATCACAGATTGAAAAAGATCTTAGCTTCATGGTAGAGAAACTAAAATGTCAGTAAAAAGAAGGTACATAGACCTGCTGATCGCTAACATTCCGAACGAATCGGTACTGTCAGGAAAAGACATAAAAAACTCTTACAGTTATATTATTTAATGTAATGTAAGACTAATTAATTTATTCTTTTTCTTATTGTTTTATCTAAAAATAAAAACCAACTGTTTACTTACTTATATCCCTCTCTTTTGAAAGCCAGCACAGCGTTTGGTCCCAACCAAACAGACCCATCTATTCTGGGCGTTACGTGAACACCCAAAAAGGGAAAGTTGGGATCTGGTACAGGATAAACATTTGTTTTAATCAGTGCAGCTTTTTCGGGTTTTAGGAGCAAATATTCTCCTCTGAATGGCACTATTTTTGGATTTGAGGAACAGCCAGACATGACTGCCAGCCGATCTGATTGTAATCCTCCACATGTGAGTACGTATTTTGCGTTTATAGTTTTTTTATCCTTTCCAGTGACTTTAATTGGATAGTTTGGATCTCCTGATTCTTGAAATCCATTTACCTAATAAAAAAAATTAAATAAAAAATTTAAGCCAAAAAAAATATGTGTCTACTTGCAAAAGGCGGGACGAAAAAGTTAACAATAAAATGGCGCTTTTTGTTTAATAGAAGTGTAAGTTATTGTACATCATCTGTACATGAGAGAAATCAAAACGACCATAAAAAGAATAGTGTAAATACCAAAAATTAGTAGTACGTATCTTACATGGTCTAAATAAGAGAAAGGTAGAATAGCAGCTCACGTTATTAGTGAATAAAAAATTAGTTGTTAGATAGTTAACACTGTAGAATAATGGATGGTTTAAGTTTACAACTTAGTAAAAGCATTTATATATTTAAAAAGTAAATTAGGGTTGATAAAAGCAGGAGTAATAAGGTACCAGACTGGTAATTTGATACAATAAAAATAATCAAAGAACGGTGTTCAGTTTCAGGACAAAGTCAGGACAAAGAATAAAAAAAGTTTTCCACGACTAATAAAAGTGGATTAGCTTAATTTGTTTAAAAAATCACAGCTGTTTTGTTTATTAAAATTAAGAGTTAATATCGAACCATTCAATAGTTAAAGGCCTATATTTTATGAGGATATAATTTTTATTTTTAAAATACCGCTATTTATAGTCCAAAAATATAAGTAAACTTCAGTTCAGTATGCTAAATTCGAGTAGCCGAATTAGCTCAGTGGTGTGGAAACTCTTCTCCTATTGGCCCGGCGAAAATAAAACTTATTTTGGAACTTAAAATCCTCAGAGCTTCGAAAAATTGATCATAGTTCTGTTAAATATGGAACAATTTCGTTTTTTTTTATCTACGGTAGCAGAAAATTTTATGAACATTAAAGCATTTAGCCTAATTTAAATTAAAATAAGCTTAAGGTCTTTATGGCATGACGCCATGTTTGCTTTTTCTGTCATTGTATTCTATTAGATTAATCTTATCATATAATCTTATATACTAAAACGCTTAGCCCTTTTCTTGTCCACCACTTTACTCAAAAACCATATTAGATAATTAAATTATTTTTTCGGAATATTATTAGTATTACGTATGAGATTGTCAAGATATACTTTTGGTACAAAAATTCACTTCCGGTTTTGAGATGACCGGAAGTTAAAATTTACTTTAAGTTTTAGACCCCACAATGTATATATGGATCGAAAGGTCTCGTCGAGACGAATCTAAATATGTACTTCCGGTTGCGATCCGACACCGGAAGTGACCCGAAACGCGGATAAAACGTCAAGATAGAGCAAATCTGACACCGGATTCGTGATCAGCATGCAAAATTAACTGCTAAATGATATCCATGTCGACATTTGATTAACTAAAAATTGCATTCCAATTTTGAGGTCGACTTCCGGTTTTGTTTTTGTTAAAAAGTAAAAAGTAAAAGTTTACATAACTCCCGATGCCAAGCAAAAGTTTTCAGAAAATGGAGACATTGTAACAAAAAACATTGTTTTCGACGAAATATTTCGTGATATTTAATACACTTTTTACTTGCATTATTATTGATGAATGTTATGTATATTCTTGCATATATTATTTGTATTGATCTCTTAATTTTTCTCGCAAAATAAAAATTTCATTTAAAAAACTCGATGTCGAGTTGGTCCGCTAGTACCTTATTAAGATACTTCTCTAAAGCCCCTTTGGCCATGTTTGATTTTCTTTATCATCGTATTCTATTACATATGACATATCGCACGGTCCTGTATGTTAGGTCGTTTAGGCACTATAAGTTTACAGTTTTTGTACCTTAACAGTGCCATAAAAAATTATAACCAACAATTTGAGGTTGCACCATCGAGGTTAGATTCTAACTTAATGAGTTACACGCACTTGGCATTGCCCTTCATAACGCTGTGCTGGTTTAAAAAATTCACTAGTTAATGCAGGGTGGGCTATAAATAGACTTCAAAATTAAAAAGTAAGAAAAATATGTGCCAAAATAAAGATTCTGAGAATGGTAAAAGAAGCTTTTGTCCTTGAGCTTTAACGTTGAAGAAAAAGTTAATTTTTTACACACTAAACGAGAAAAAATAAAAAAAAGTGTATTCGTTGATAACAAAATACTAAAAATACTAAAAAAATTATATGAATATTACCTCAAAATCATTATATATCTCTCCTTTTTGATTAGTAAAATCTTTCGCGAAATATTTAGTAACTAAACCCCAATCTACAATACCAGTTTCCGGAGACCATAATGCTTCTAAACCTTTACAAAGAGGCTCTTTTTCTTGAATTGCTCTTTCTCCTTTTAAATATTGTAGGCCCGGCACTTTGTTTTCTATACCTCGTTTGTGAAGTTCTTGTAGTTTTTCAACTTCTGATTTATCAGTAGCAACTATTAGTTTTCCACATTTCTTATAGGGAATATTTTTAGAGTCAAAGTATTTGTAGGATAAATGTAAACCTTCGACACATAACTTCGCTTTCAAAGAACCTAAAACATACGACGTATATCTAGTTTACTATATCATACAAGGTATTTATATTTTATATACAAATATATAGTTTCTATACATCTAGTTTCTATAGTTAAACATTTTGTAGGTTCCTGAGTTCCTAAAGGTTATTTACAGGCGGATTTATAAGGGATCTAAGGACATACTCAGTTTGGTTTCAAAAAAAATTTAAGAATATTAGAAGCGAGCACTTTCTTGTAATCAATACACCGTATGCAGGCTCAGTTGTAAAACATCTAAGTCATACATATAATTGAATTGAATTCCATTTCTTTATAATATATCGTGACCCGGGCGGTTCTAAACCTTCCAAACCATTAGACTAGGGAGAAGGAGGTTGAACTTTCTCCCCCCCTAAAAGTGGTAGTGGTGCACTTTGATATTATAAAATATCTAGATACTCATGATGACCTAATAAACCAGCTGGAAAAACTAGTCGCGGATGTTCCCCCTTTATAGTAAGCTAAAGAATATTGTGGTAAAACTGAAAAAATGCCCAGGTCTACTCAAACAATATATCGCAGAGCTGACAATATATATATATATATATATATATATATATATATATATATATATATATATATATATATATATACACAAATAAAACAGTTTATTAGGGTTGCAGTCAGAATATTGGCCGGGATGTTAAAAAAACACTCTTTTGACTTTTTTGTCGAGCTTTCGGAATCGTTTTATTCCTTTTTCAAGACACTGCAATAAGACAAAAATGTAAATATTTAAAAAATATCACAATTCTTCAGTGTAACTTACTAGTCGTTGAGATTATTTGTATAAGCATTTACACTCAACATTTATAACACACATTAAAACATTAAAATATACAATTATGGACACAATACATTATAAAATTCTTAAAATTTATTGTAAAAATAGTAGGTAAAACTTAGTTGATAGCAGGAGAACCGAAAATGAGTTTATTTAACATTCTCCTTTTCCTTCACAAGTTTCTGTCAACCAAAATTTTCATAACAATGAGATCCGACAAATGACATTGACACATAACGCATCAATATTACCATCGAAAATAACTTATGGTTGCCTACCTTACATTCCATTTTTGACACCTAAGCTAATGAACATCTTTAAAAATATTAGTGGCTTAAAAATTACAACCAAAAATGTGAAAACAGTATCGAAGCTTTACACAAAAACAAAAGATCCTTTCACAATACAGGAGTCATCGAATGTTGTTTATTCTATACCGTGTACTAATTGTAATAAAATTTACATAGGAGAATCATCTCGTAATTTTCACAGCAGGGTGATATCACATCGTAGTGATATAAAAACCAAAAAAAATCAATGCATGTGCATTGACAGAACATGCACTAACTTTGAAACATGAATTTAATTTCGATGATTCCTGTATTTTGGCAAAAGAAAAGAACCTTTCAAAACGTGTATTTTTGGAAATGTGTTTCATAAAATCTAGCACATCTTGCATTAACAAAAGGTCAGACATAGACAAATTAAGTAACATTTATTGTTATTTACTAGAAAAACACCAAAAATAAAATAAAAATTTACCTGTACATAAATTACACCTCTATGTATAATATGTTGCATACCATTAAGACAGGTTAAAAGCATAGTTCACTTAAAAAGAAAGATAACATCAATTACACCTAATTACATATTAATTACAGTGTTTACTTTCCATTCTCTGCATGAGTTAATATACAAAAGTAAAACATGCTATCAACTAAGTTTTACCTACTATTTTTACAATAAATTTTAAGAATTTTATAATGTATTGTGTCCATAATTGTATATTTTAATGTTTTAATGTGTGTTATAAATGTTGAGTGTAAATGCTTATACAAATAATCTCAACGACTAGTAAGTTACACTGAAGAATTGTGATATTTTTTAAATATTTACATTTTTGTCTTATTGCAGTGTCTTGAAAAAGGAATAAAACGATTCCGAAAGCTCGACAAAAAAGTCAAAAGAGTGTTTTTTTAACATCCCGGCCAATATTCTGACTGCAACCCTAATAAACTGTTTTATTTGTTTATATCGACAGTCAATAATATCCAGTATTTCTATATATATATATATATATATATATATATATATATATATATATATATATATATATATATATATATATATATATATATATATATATATATATATATATATATATATATATATATATATATAGGACATGTTGGCCCTGTGATTATAAACTGAATATGTACTTTTATCTCCCATTTTTCCCCTTCTGAAGTCCGAAGCAGACCGAAAGACATCTGGCTAGTGACCACAGAGTGCTATTGGTAACTGACTGAGGATGGCTTCAATTACTGAGAACAGGCAAAGAGAGCACATGATTTGATCTTCACGAAGGCCCTACAAAGCAAGGCATACCTATTAGTTGACCAATTTTATACCCTTGTGTTTTATATGTGATTCATTCTGGATCAAATGAGCCATTAAAAATCTCCCGTGGGCTTGTAGACTAAGACTTTTTTGCGCCAGCTTACTGAATAATTGACTATGCCATTGATTGAAGAGCGAGCTTCAAATCAGCAGATCACGCGACACCATTAGACAAAACTAGCGAATGAAACTTTTTTTAACTGTTAATCATAAACATTGGCAGAAAACTTATTATCGGGATCGTAATACATTTGTCAGAAGTACTTCATATGCAAATGAAGAAAAACCAGAAAGTGGTGTGATGAATGTCAAAAGTCAGTCTGCGATGAACATACCGCAAAAATAATAAAATGTATAAAATTTAATCATTAATTAATGGGAATTATCCAAATCATGGGGGTTCAAGAGGTTATTGCTGAATTATTTTTTTTATATAAAAAAAAAATCAGCAGATTCCCTGGTAGTCGGTTGACAACACAAGGGTTTTAATACGTCATTATTATCATCAACTAGCCTCTAACGTCCACTGCTGAACATAGGCTTCTCGCATGCTTTTCCACCTAGTCCGATTTTGCGCCATCTGAATCCAATTTGTTGTCACTCTTTTTATGTCATCTGTCCATCTATTTGGGGGTCGACCTCTATTCAATAACACAATTAATGTTTTAATACAATATCCTATAATAACTACCATAGTAAGTGATATTTGTTTAATACAATTTAACGAAGAAAAATATTGATGTAATATATAATTATTGATACCATATCCAATATCGCAAATGTTTTCAACAGTCCACGATACTGTTTATACAGAGTACCCCACTAATAACTACATACAATCGTTAAAGATGATCTGTTTCAAAATAAGGTATTTTAACAATCTTATGACAACGAAAACAAAAATGAATAGGAAAACGCAAAATTCTTACAAACAACCTAAAAAATGTATAACAGGAAATGTCTTTCTTACCAGGTTTGTAATATATTCCAGCATGTACAACTCCGCTATTGTGACCGGTTTGATGATTTGCAAGTGTTTTTTCTTTTTCAAGTATAGCCATGCGCAACTTTGAGTTCCTATTGCTAATTTCCCTAGCTGTGGCAACTCCAACAATTCCTCCTCCAACAATGGCGATGTCATAATTGTTCGAATCTATGCTAAAATTAAGTCATTGTATTACTATTATATTAAGAATATTGTTTGGTAACTGCAACAAAGCTAATTACTATTTAACTGGGAATAAGCCACAATTAAAGGTTAAAATACGTTTATTGACGTTTCAATTTCCACTTCGGAAATAAACGTATTTTAACCTTTAATTGTGGCTTATTCCCAGTTAAATAGTAATTAATTTAAAATGCCACAAGAAAATAGCTTCAGTGCAACAAAAATTTTTTGTGAATTTTAAACATTTAAAATTGCTGGTCTCAATGAAAGATTTTCTTAATATGGTAATAATTAGGTACAGTTTACATATTTAGATTTAAATTTAATTCATTTAATACGTTCTATTTTCGTACAAATTGTGACAAAAACATATATGTAACTTGGTTACACAAATATTAGCGTGGATAACGACCATAATAAATTATACTTTATTACTTTTATTTCATGAACTCGATAAGTTTTTCCTCGGGAGTTGATAGAAGTGTTTGATTAATACGGAGGCCTTAATATTGCAGTGTCGAAGTAGTATCTGTTGTTCGTGACATTTAGAAAGTATTTTAATGGTGTTGAAAAGTGCTGTGTTGATGTGTGGTCCGAATGGCATATTGAATTAGTTTCTTTTGTGATTTTTGGAAGGTAGGCAAGCGAATTTCTCAATAGTTTTTTTTAATCCGTTTATGACGCCAAACTACGTTTTGCTTCTTTATATGTATACAGTAGTGTAGCCTTAACACCTAAAGTAATATTTTTTGGTATTTGATTATAATATTTATGGTTAAAGTATAGAGAACGTTCCGATTAACTTAACTACAAAAGAAACTTCACTAAATCACAAATTTGCGTTTGTGGTATTGCCATGTTAGTCCAGGCTGTGAGGCCGCTCCCGTTGGGAAAATGTTTCTGATTCGGTTTCTTCACGGATTCCGGTTCAAAAATGTCCCCTTTAAACAAATCTGAAGGGTGCCGGGCGAAATTTTTGGGCAGAAATTGTTTAAACAATTTTTTTAAACAAATTTCAAAAATAATTTTTTTAAGTAAGTATATGCATAGTTTACATATACTTACACATACTTAAAAATAATTATTATTTATTGAGTATGTATTTATTTATATCAATTGAGTTATAATATAAATTTCGTAAAAATATAAACTACATTTTATTTAAAGTCTAATAATAGTTACATAAAATAATTGTACAAAAGATTGTTAAATAACACACTAATATCACTCAGTAAAATGCATCTTTGTTTTCACAAAAATCTAAATCACATCCACATAATGGTACACAGTTGACATGATTTTTCTTGCAGTTGCAAGCATTAGTTTTGCAAGTCTTTTTGCATTTGCACGGTTTCACCAGTGTTTCTGGTAATGGGTTTTGAGTTATGAATCTTGGTAATAACCCAACACTGTCAGACATATAATATCCATATTGTGTAAAATCGAGAGTTTGATAGCGAGAATATATGGCATTTCGCCAAATATATGTTTGAGCGAAAGCTCTTAATAAGTGTTGGTAAAGTGCGTCAGAGGTACAAGGTATATTGGCTAGATTAATTCCTAAGCCACATGATCTGTTAAAAATTGTTTTTCTTGCATCGTTTACGGATTCTCCCATTTTGACTATTAATTGCAAATACAGTTTTTCTAGTGTTTTAAACTGTGTAATGTCAAACGCACTTATTCCAAACACAGAAAGTGCTCCTAAATATAGTTTTTCTGAATCAATTAAATCCAAAACCTTTTTTTCGGACCTACTTTGCTTGTTGTGTCGCAGCCTGTAATTGCATGTAATTTGCGATAGTATATTGTTTTTAAACACCGCGCAACTTAAAATTAAGTTTACTAATATTAATATTTACTGCATTGTATTATTTTAATAATAATTTAAAAATATTATTTACAATTGATATAAATAAATATATACTCAATAAATAATAATTATATTGTTCAAATTTGGAAGAAAAAAAACTATACGGTTAATACATTGCGATGATTGATTTATTTAATTATTAGCCCAATGACAATAATTAATACCTACGTAAATAAATTATGGATAAACTTCAAGTATTTGTTCGGATTTTTTTGCGTAAGTATATGTAAACTATGCATAAGTACGATAGAGGCACACGATAGCGCGCCGCGCCGCGGCGGCTGAAAAATCGAGTGTACGCGCATACTTAACAATTAAAAAACAACGGTCTAAATTAAAATAAGCCCCGATTACTGTTCACAATCTTGAAGTTGAATGTTTAAACTTCAATTTAGATATTTGGTAACCTCCAAAATAATAATTTACATATGTGTTTTCAAGCCCTCAAAAATACGTATTTTCGCGTTTTCAGACTTTAAATCGCTTATAACTCGAAAACTATCAACTTTAGAGAAAAATGACAAAATACCCTTTTTGTTTAAAATGACCCAAGAAACCTAAAAAAAAACGTTTTCCAGATTAAAAAAAATATTTTTGGAATTTGTTTAAAAAAACTATTTAAACAATTTCTGCCCAAAAATTTTGCCCGGCACCCTTCAGATTTGTTTAAAGGGGACATTTTTGAACCGGAATCCGCGAAGAAACCGAATCAGAAAAATTTTCCCAACGGGAGCGGCCTCACAGCCTGGACTATGTCCTTATTATGTATATGGTTTATGTCTCAAATATGCTTTGAAACAGTACAACTTTATTATATTATTTTATGGAATCTGGTATTATTTATTTTTTTTAATTTACATAAAACACGAACAAATCAATATTTGTTTCTTTCGATATTAGTTGCAGTTAGCTATTAGAAGAAAAAATTGTAATTGCCATTTGGTAGATTAGCGAATAAATTTCAAAATTTCCTTGTAGCTAACGTAATCCATTGATTATGAACCACTACCCTGATAGTGGTTTATAATCAATGCTTAATCGGAACGTTCTCTATACTTCAAGCATCTTTATTATATTACCTACGCTTACATAAAGGTCTTCCTTCTTACTTGTATACCTAAAGGAGATTTTATTTACATTTGTAATTTAATTTAATTTATCGGTATGTATTGCTCCCATTTATATTTTATTTGCTTGCAACTGGCAGCGCATTACAAATGCAAAAGTATGAAAATATTGGGTCAGTGTTGGAGAATCAAAAAGGGACAGATTTATATGTTAAATAAAATCAAGGTTAAAGCGGATACATCGTATTTATATCTAACATTTAAGCAATGTGCATAATTTAAAAACTTAATAATTCACTTATAAATTATGAATTTGCATCTCTTACTCTTTTTCTGAATCAGATTCGTTGTCGGGCGCGATTGGAGTGATTATAGATTGACAAAGTTCTTCAGTGTTATTATCAATAGATCAAAATATTGCTTTCTCTTTTTACGTGGTTTACGGCGTTGGTCCAGTTATCATTCGTTGCATTTTTTACGGAATTTTGTCTGGCCACTTCACCTTTTACTTAAGCCCATATTTACTCTATTAGATTAAGTTGACAATGATAAGGTGGTCAACGTAATATCGTTATTTCTTTTGTTTTTGCCATTTTGTCAATGACATATTTTTATCTACTTTTTTTCACGAAACCGTCGGTAACTTTTTCACTAATTTTGAGTGATAGCTGGCGTTATCGAAAACAACGGTAGCATTATTTGGTAGAAAAGTCAAAACCTCTGAAAAGTAATCCTCAAAAACATCGCAGTTTATTTCTTCGTGATATTCTTTATTGCATTTTAAAACAAACTCAAATAAACCATCTTCGACGTCTGTTGCAATTTAGGTTTGCCATTCTTAAAGGATTTTTCGATAAATTCCTTCCATTCGAATTTGTTCGCTATTATGTTTCTTGATATTATTGGAGCTTTCTTTTAATTTTTTGTAGAGGTTAAATCTATTATGTTTGTTTTCTAGGTTTTGGAGTTTAGGAGTATTGATACATCAATAAAAAGTCTGACATAAATAAACTAAGCAACATTTATTGTTATTTACGAGAAAATACCAAAAATAAAATAAATATTTACCTGTACATAAATTACACCTGTATGTATAATATGTTGCATACCATTAAGTCAGGTTTAAAAAGTATAATCACCTAAGATGGGCCTCTAGTATTTCTTGAAAAGAAAGATAACATCAAGTACACCTAATTACATGTTAATTACAGTGTTTTTACTTTCAATTCTATGTGCATATGAGTTAAAACACACCAGTAAAACATGCCATACTACCAAGTTTTACTATCTTTACCCTAAATTTTAAAAATTTTAGAATGTATTTTGTCCATGATTTTATATTTTAATGTGTGTTATCAATGTTGAGTGTCAATGCTTTTATAAATAATCTCAACGACTAGTAAGTTACACTGAAGAATTGTGATATTTTTTAGATGAAAAAGGAATAAAACCATTCCGAAAGCTAGACAAAAAGTCAAAAGAGTGTTTTTTTTAACATCCCGGTCAATATTCTGACTGCAACCCTAATAAACTGTGTTGTTTGTTTATATCGACAGTCACTTTCTTATATATATATATATATATATATATAATATATATATATATATATATATATATATATATATATATATATCGCAGTTTATTTCTTGGTGATATTCTTTATTGCATTTTAAAACAAACCCAAACCCAAACCCAAATAAACCATTCTCCACAAAACCATGTTCGCTACCAATGTGCGTGATTATTATCCTTCGACCCTTTCCTGCGAGAGCATTTAACCAGTGAAATATCCTTGTAGAAAGGCTTGCCCAGAACTTCGGAGACCATTTCGTGGGATCTGAACTTCACCCAAGTGTTGTTTTTGTCTTACAATCATGTAAATAGTGGATGACAATAGTGCTATCATACTTTCACAACGACTTATTGTCTACGCCTGAGACAATGTTTTTCTCAAATAGTCAGACACATTAGACACTATTTTTTAGCTTCAAGTTCAAACTGTTTGCGAGAATTTTTCACATTGATACTCTCCCTGCTAGTATTAGGTTCT